CAGTGACTGTTGATCTTTATAAAAATATTGTTTCTTAAGATCTTATAATACTTTCTATAACCGTGGTGACACTCGAGTTTAGACAATCGTACTACACATCTACTTACTTTCCCAATTGGGTGGTGGTGTGCCTTTAGGTTAACTCGAATCAGTACTCGACTCAAGTACCTCGTAAATGTTCATATATTCGATTATCGAACTAAATGACCCGGATGTTTATGATTTAGTAATATTACACACAAAAATAATTAGAGTTAAAAATCATTAAATCAATTAGTGATACTTAAGTACTACTTCAATTACGACTTTTTACAACTACATTTGCAATGTAATTTTTTATCACACGAGCTCTACTGACATTTACACTCATTAAACAGTCATTAAACTATACTAATAAGGACACAATAATGCCTTCGAGATACTTGATTTTATTAAAAAACTTCCCCCTCAATTACATAAAAAATTTCATACAATTCAAACTCACCCAAAAATACATACTAGTATCTGTCTTTTATTTAACACTAAGTACTGAAGTATTCGTATACCAATAATTTCTCAGGCGGTCTTGGCATTCTTAAAGCGGGACTAAGATCTGTAGAACTGGTTTTCGCTGCAACAAAAAACAATCAAAACAAAAAAAAGATTTTCTTTCTTTTTGAACTTATAGACAATTATTTTCTACTTTTAGTTCGTCTGGTTAAAAAAGCGTGTTTTTAAGTTTTTTAAACTTTAATTTATTTTAGCTTTTTTGTCATAATTGATGATTATTTTCTCATTAAGACTTAAAAAGTAACAAACAATTAAGTCATAATTATGCTGCAGAGTGGGGACTTCTGGTGGCAGATTGATAGCTGCGGTATCGGATAGGATGGATGCATTATGATGCAATCGGTCACCACGCCACGATTGAGGTGAGGAAGTGTTTCCCCCCGTCAACAAAAAACATAAGGTGTCAGTAGATATGATAGGTACTTAGTATGATGTTAGTTTTTTTAAGTTTGTGTTTAAATATTAGATAAAATATTATCTATACTAATATTATAAAGCTGAAGAGTTTGTTTGTTTGTTTGTTTGAACGCGCTAATCTCAGGAACTACTGGTCCGATTTGAAAAATTCTTTCAGTGTTAGATAGCCCATTTATCGAGGAAGGCTATAGGCTATATATCATCACGCTAAGACCAAAAGGAGCGGAGCACCAATGAATAATGTTTCAAAAACGGAGAAAATTTATTACTATTGAGAGACGCAGACGAAGTTGCGCGGGTCAGCTAGTATTAGTCCTTGCTAAGGTGGATCATTTCTTACCTGAGTAACCGCAGTCAACTCGTTACCGTAAAGGGCTACTCTTCTTCACCTGTATCAGCCTCATCGGGCGTTCCGCAGGGCTCGCACCTGGGCCCACTTCTCTTTATCATGTTTATAAATGATCTTGTCAGCCGTTTATCTTGCCCCTCTCTTCTGTACGCCGACGATCTCAAAATTTTTACTAATATCAAAGACCAAAGACAACATGTGGCTCTTCAACATGACTTAAAAGTTATCTCTGACTGGTGCTCGTACAACAACATGAGCCTAAATGTGAAAAAGTGCTGCTTTATCACATTTACTAGGAAACGTTGTACACTTGATTTTGAATACTCTATTGATGGCCAAAGGTTAGAGAGAAAGGATAAAGTTAAGGATCTAGGTGTGCTCTTTGATGAGCAACTGTCTTTCCGACCTCACTACCAGCATATAATAAATAGAGCCCGTAGACTTTTGGGTTTTATTATAAGGTCAACAAGAGACTTTAGAAAACAGCAAAGCGTGTTGGCTCTTTTCTTTAGCCTTGTCCGAAGCGGCCTAGAATATTGTTGTCCAATCTGGTCCCCATTTTATAAGGTTCATACAGATGCCATAGAAAGTGTTCAAAGGCGGTGTCTGAGATACGTCGCCCGCAAATTCAGCTATGGTAGATCACTACAGGACTATCGTGACAGGTTAGCTGAGTTCAGTGTGAGTTCGCTACAAGCCCGCCGTAGAAGGTATGATCTCCTTTGCCTCCACAAAATTATTCACTCCACTATCGATGCGCCTGGTCTGCTGTCTGCGATCTCTGTTAACACCAGACACAGGTCACGTTGTCCCAATGTGTTTTTAATACAAATTTATAAAAATAACACCTCATTCTTTAACCCGATAGTAAGGATGTGTCGCACATATAACGAGCTGAATCGGATTAGAGACGTGGATGTATTTAATGATAGATTCTCCCAGTACAAGAGGGTCATAACACACATAATAAATGCTCAATGTTCGTGGTAGGTATTTCTAAGTATTTCTTTTCTTTTCTTTTTTGTTAATAATTTAGTTTTAATTTTAATTTTACTTATGTTGTGGATACATGAACTTGAGTAGTGTTGGTGATGATTAAGCGTGGCTAGCATTTGTATTTGCCATATGCCTTGTATTTTGCCTTTTCATGTTGTGTATGCTACATTTGGATTACTGTCTAGACTTTATATGTATCTATCATCTGTTTCCTGTAACATGTAATGGCAGTAATCTGTAAGTGTACCTTTTAGAAATAAATAAATAAATAAATAAATTAGATAAGAAGTTAAATTGTTTATTCTAACTAAGCAATTGAGATGTATCTTGCGAAAGTTGTTCTCGGCAATTCTTAGAGTATAGTATAGTTTAATAGCAGCAAATTGGACAAAAGCGGTTAGACAACCTGACACTTAATTGACGAGTATTTACAACAAGTAGCAAAAAGTATTGTATATCCACTTATCCGTTAACACACGTAAATTTTCCTACTATACAGTTTTGTTATGTAGACATAGTGTCCTAGTCGTAAGGTCCGTGAGAAGTTTCTGAAATAAATAAATACATATACAAAGGACACAATACGTTAAGAATGTTTCATCATCGTCATTGAATCGAATGTACAAATCAAAGTTCACTGGTCATTTTAGTAAGAAATTCATCAAAATGTCAAGCTTCATTATGAATATACGGTTTTGAAACGATATTAATTGAAAATACGTTTTGTCATTTGAAAAAAACCTATACCTGTGTGATTAATGGAACAAAAATCGCTCAAAATTTGATATTTATTGGCTAAAAGGTTTTTTTTTTATTATGGGTAAATACTTATTATTACATATTATAGAATAGTAAATGCAAAGTAGTAAATGCAAGTCACGTTTTCTATGGAATGTAAATCACTTATGCAAAAAAAAAAGAAGGTAAGAAAATACTCCGGGTGATTTGGAATTTACCTACGACTTAAATTTTTAATGAGTAACATATTTCCGCCCACTTTTTTGCAATCTGTGAGAGTGATTCCCTGAAAGTTACGTAAATGTTTTACAGAAAGGGATGAGCGCGCTTTTTCATGAGACTGATAAGCCCGCGCGGTGCCAGAGTTGGTAGGTGAGATTTCAAATGTTACACATTATATTATGTGACTACCGCAGGGCTCACTCGTTTTTTAGCAGCATTTACATCTCATCAACAGCCATTTAATAGTCTACGGTCTACTCCTCAGAACGGAGGTTTTGACCTATACCACGCCGACCAGAGAAGTTGTTGCAGGGTTTGTATTAATTATTCGTTCTCTTTACAATGCTGTTGTCCTGCGTAGTTTGCTCCCTTATTAGGCTTTTACGACACCCAAGATATGAATAGGTGTGGTGACACTATGTTTCTTAATCCGTCAATACACGTATCATTTAGCAGAATTACATTGCTTGCAGTTAAAGTAATTTCTTTCCGTGATCCGTGAATCTCCATTCCGGTCAAGATTATTGACGGACCAAAGTAGTATAATTATTTACTTCTTCTGTGTCGTTTCTACGTAGAATAGCATTGCCAGAAATTTACACCGATTGAAAGGACTCATGATGACTTATGACCCAACGCTATGCTGTGGCACCGCGTAAAATAACGTTAGCAAAAAGGTAACCACTGAATTGCTTGGATTTGTAGATTAGGATTGGAGATCGCAATAGTGCGTAAATAATATACGAATTCAGTCCGAGATTTCGAAGCGCGAAACCCTCCCAGGGTTTATTTCCCGTTTCGTGCTTCTATAAGTAGCAAGATAAAATCTTAGAAGATCTAATAAGAAAAATAACATTCCAGATCGGTTTATAACTGACGAGGTTTCAAAATAACAAATAAAACCTAATGACAAACCTCCTTATTTGAAGTGGGTTAAAAATTCAAGTCTCTGTCAGTATCCGCGCAGTCATTGAACGACATTGAATTTACATGGTCATTATTGCATCAAAGTTCTGTGTAACAAAACTACGTATTGTTAAAACATGTTACCGTGAATAACTTTTGGTAACAATCTGCAATTGATTTTTATTGTTATTGCAAATAGTGAGCAGCCATTAGTGGACGTGTGTTGATTAAATATGTGCTCAGTATAGCCCTGTAGAGCTATGCTAAAATTTACATGTACGAAATGGGTGTGTACAATAAAAATATAAGATTGGTCGTAGATTCAGTAATTTATTTTATGCAAATTAGTGTAAAATGCCTTTTAAAATATGAAAATCAATACACTATTAATAAATACTTCCACCGATACGAATAAGTATTAGTAGAAATAAATCTAATATTAATTGATAATAAACTGCTGCTATTGACGTCATTTAATAGAACATTACTAATTGCAACATAACTTGTAGCAATTTTATATTAGTATCACGCACAAGGCTTTGGTGATTTCTAAATGAACGGCGGGTGTTGGGTTATCACCCGCATATCTTGATTCTTGTACAGTTGTTCAACGTTGGTTCTCTATTTGGTAGAGCGTGGTTCAGTTGCGCTTGCGCGCTACGTTGAACCCATCGCGCCGGTACAGTGAGCACGCGCAGTGCCCACTACGCTTGCACGCACGCCGCCCGCGTACATCATAATAACAATCAGTGTGCCTTTACATTATAATGTTACCCTGTCAACCAAATACTGGAAGACGGTGTGTGAAGTGATATTTATAAGAATGCCGGAGTGTACAGAACAATTGACGTTCACTATTCCCATCATACGATACACCATGGATTCTGATGACAGACCTACGGAGGTAGAAAGGCAACAGCTTACGAAAAAAATGTCCCTGTTGCCACCCGTGAAGATTGAAGCTCCAGATCCTGTGAGAAGTGGGAGACGGTCGTCAGAACCTAATAGGTATTATATACCGCCACAGTGTAACAACCGATTATCTCCGAGGAGTGCTCGTAAACGTGATTCCAGGAAGAATTCTAAGTCTAACCATAAAGATGATTCACCGTCGAAGGACACTTTTGGACCTAAACCGTGTAATTGTGAGGATTGTAGAGCTTCCAGTCCATTGCCACCTGGTTATGGGCCACAGACTCTGTCTCCTGGCTACGATCAGATGAAGATGTCATTGTTAGAAGTACCGTGGAATGAGGATTACACAGAAGCATCCAGTGATGATCTCAGTTCCGAATGGGATTCTGATGTACCAGAGCCGACTCCACCTAAGGTAATTATTTATTGTAATTTATTTTATGTGAATGTGTCCTCTGCTGACCCGTGTGATTCAGTATAATGAACCTAATGATATTCCATTAATTAATGTGTTCTGTTCACTGTATTTAAAGTTTACAATTAAATTATTATTGTTACATCAACGAAGTATTTAACTTGTTTAGACATTTGCATAGCGAAATGACTCCGTTTGTACAGTTGCAGTTTTATAATGTCGTTAAGGAAAATATATAAATTTATATTTTAATAGCATTTGAAGAATTTGTACTTGCAAGAACGTTTTAATAGCATATTTATGGAGGAATCAACAATATAATAGAAGCACAGATAAAACGAATTTGAATTTCGAAGAAACAGGTAATATAGCTGGCTATTCAAATGCATGTGGAAAAAATCAACGAAATAATATAACTTGTACAAAAACTCGAAGATAAGCAATTCTAAGATTAATTTACTGAAAAATACATATTTTACTTAACGCAATTAATTTGTAAGTTATTAAACACAAACCAGCTTAGACAAGATATGATGTTTTTTTTTAAATAAACTTTCAAGTGGTTAATGATTATCATTGTAAGCATTCGCCGCAGTGAGTATAAAACCGATAGTAATGTCGTGAATGAGATTGATAACTTGAATTCCTTAGCTTATACGTCAAGTTCGCAATTAATATTAATAACCTATTGTACAGACAATAGATTTGAAAGTGTCAATGAAGGCAACTACTATTAAAATTATTATGTAGAGACATACATGCGCAAAACTATTCAAAGGGCAATTAACATTGAATATTGAATAGCGAATTATGTATGAAACTGCGTAAATTTCAAAATATATAAAGTATTTTATTTGAAGGAATTGATTAACACGACATAACGAAGTGAGGAAAATAAACGAAGAAGTTTTTATTGAAAACTAGCGATCCGCACCAGCCGCGCACGCGTGCAATGTAGTAACTAACTAACGTATTTATTTGGATAAGAAACAATACGATATTGTTCAAAATAACTTTGTAAACCCAATATTTTAACCCATTATTTTTTGTAATATGTAAAAAGGTAAAAATGGTTAATGTGGGTTATCCTTAGGAGGACTTTTTGTAGATCTTTTTAAGATATACGTAGACCAAAATAATGTCCTACCGAATTGGTAGGACATTACTTTGGTCTACGAGTATCTCTTAAGATTTCGCCAGCGTTCGCAATGTAAGCGCACAAAAACATTTTTTTACGGCAAATCTTTGAAATTCTCGAATTTTCTCTACTATAATTATGCATGTATTTTACATATAAACCTTCCTCTTGAATCAATCTATCTATTGGTGAAAACCGCATTCAAATCTGTCGCTTATTTTAAAAGATCTAAGCGTACAACACAAAAAAGCTACTTTATTCTATACTATGTAAAGATGTTACTTTCGTTGGTTCTCGCCGAGAGTGAGTGAAATTACAGGAGCCCCAACCACTCCTCCCCTGACTTTAAGTTGGGAGGGAGGGCTCAAATGTTGGCAACGCACTTGTGACTCTTGATCTGCAGGTGTTCATGGGCGGTGGTAGTCACTTACCATCAGAGGGTTGAGTGCAAGTTTATTTCACATGTACTCGCTCTCAACGGCGAGCGCGTTCGGCATTACGATTGGCGAAGATTTTAGTAGGGGCCGGGTCACCGTGACTATCGAGTAGAAGTGAAATAGAGTCACACTTGGCCCTCAGGAGACCCGTCTACTCGTTTGCCATCCTATACTATAAAAAAGTTTCTGTGCAATCTGTTGAAATCGCATTATTTTTTAATCAACATCGTGTTGCATAAGATTCATAGTTACCTGCTTTATCGCTACAAACGGGAAAATGCCAAACAGGTATAGGTAACCGGTTTTATCCCAACTTTAACGTGTTTCGCGAGGTACCAAAATCGCATTATTTCTAAATTAAGAACCTGCTAGTTTACCTACATTTTTGTGGTTGGCTTTTACAGTTTTTATATTAAGATGTGTAAGATCATCCAGCCGACTTGTTTTTTTAAATTCTTATGTGATGAACAAGATTTAATGTTCTTTTGACGTTAATGCGAAAAGTTTTAGTCATTCATAAAAGAAATATGTTCTAAGAATTTAGTTTCAAATCTATATAAATAATACTTGTTAGAATTTACTATAATATTTCAAATAAAAATTTTATATTTTAAGATTGAATTGAGTAAAAGAATTTGTCTGTCAACCTTTTCTCAGGAACGCGTAATACCTTTAGGCATTCTCTTAGAGTTACTACGGTCTCATAGAGTGGTTTCGCACTACGTCCAATCAGAATCCGAGCCGAACCCGGGAAAATACGATCTGATGCAGTCGTAGAATAATTTTTATGGTAGATCCCACTTTCGACATCTGATTTCTTCTATTATAAGTGAATCTCCATTCCCGAGAAGATTATTGACGGACTAAAGTAGCCATACTATTCTTTGTATGAACGCAAGCAGAATTATTTACTTCTTCTGTGTCGTTCGTACGTACAATAGCATTGCCAGAAGTTGACCGATCCAAAGGATTATGATCAACGACTTGAACGATCTGGTGAGGCGAGGTGAGGACTGGAATCAGAGGTCGTAATAGTGTGTAAACAATATACGAATTCGGTCAGTCAGTGTGCCTTCTAAATCCGTAATTACGGATCAGAAATTAAATATAACAATTTGCAGGATACTTTAAATTGACTTAAGAGTCATAGTCAGCAGGCCATGCAAGCACAAGTAAAGAAAAAAAATATATTCCTCTTTAAAATAACTTTTCAACATAACTTGATATGTGTAGAAATACGCGTTATGTTTCCAACTAAATAAATTATGACACAACTAGCAGATTCACTTCTTTTAAATAAATAAGTAATGCATATAGTAAGTATCATGTTTCATTCTCTCTGTGGTCAAATTCACAAAACACAACACATCTCTGTGAATTCTGTTAGTATGAACATTTGAAACAAAAACATCTGTCTCTGTATTGAGCATTTCAAAATTGCCACTTAAAACGTATGGTTCCTAGTCTATGATGTGTTTTTTCCATGTAAAATTTACATCAGGAATAGAAAACGTACCTATTTCAGAGACAAAACTCAAAAATGCGAGAACTTTACTTCCACCAATCACTAAACTTGAAATTTTGCGACTTTGCAAATTCTGACATTATCTTTATGATTGCTCACACACATTTTGTTTATTTTAATAATGTAGATTTTCAGTTGGTGTTTTGATAGATAATTTTGTACCTTGTGATTGTGTTTTCGATTTATTCCTTTCTATATAAAAATCGGGTCTGTTCTATATACTGTAATATAATTTTATTTAAATAGAGATTTTTAAAAATGCAACCTGTAGAATTTAGACACTACAAAAGTTTAGTCTGATACGCTGCGTTTCACGAACGTGTACAAACCAAACCTGTTCGTTCCTCAGCAGCAAAAAAAAAGTTATGTTTGTAATCAATATAGATTAAAATTTTAAGTAATATAGAAAGCAGACTCTGTATAGGTTAGTGGAGCCTGAATCACGGTTATCACATTCTCCACAAGTGACATTTATTGCCGATCAATCATGTCATCGCTACATGCTTTCACTGCAAGTTTGTACCAAGTAACAACTTTTAACCGTTGTTGTACCCATAACCTACTTACCATCACGCTTTTGCATTGTTCTGTCTAATTTATACTTCTGTAGCCGGTATAATGTATAAGAGTACTACTGGTTTAGTGTGACTATTAAATGATAAACTTCATTGAATGGTCCATTCAAGTTAAAAATAGTCACGTGTGTGTTTCTAATTGTCATCTATGCGACTAATTCGTTTTCATTATTGTATATTTTGTACTCAGAATCATTGGCTTAAAACTGCACTTAAGGTAAGTCAAGTTAAATGTTAATTCGAAACCACTTGTTACAAATGTACACTCATGTCTTTTATGCCGACAGGGTAGTCAGAAGCGTATTAACAAGTCTCATTTGGTTAATGGATTATTTTATTATTTATTTACCTGTGTAATTAGTAAATTAGTGCTTTTCAAACCACTGAGATGTGTAAAAATGAAAAAGATGCAATAAGAAAATCTGTGTTAGTTTTAAAATAGTACAATGTAAGTACCTATAACTAGTATGGATAACTGAATTAAATTATATTATATTCAGAATTAAATTAATTCAATTTAGAATTCATCCTAGCTTATAAATATTAACGTCCTAGTTTCGCTTAAATAAAATGATTTCTTTCTTGGTTTCAGAACATTAAAAAAAAACGAAATACAAAGTACTTTACATCTTAATAAAGAGATGATGATATTTCAAGAAACTTCATTTAATCAATTTTTGGCACTACTTACTTAATTATATTTACATAATATATTTATGACTTTAATATAATAATAATCTTTATTTGGGACAAGAAAACAATATATAATTTTAAGATGTTAATAACTGTGTCGTGGCTATTAACGTCCATCGCCATGGAGTTAACGACAGCATCGTTCCATTTGGTTAGTGTGTGTGTGGGTGTGTGTGGGTGGGTGGGTGTCACGCAGAACTTTCTCACTATTTAGTTAGCTTCTCCAACTCTTCGTATGAGAGTGAAGCTAGCCATTGGTCAGTAGGCTATTTACACTCTCTGAAATGAAATGACGCATATTTTACAATTTGAAGATATTTTTACAAGTCGGACTTTACAGCTAGAAGGCGCCGTATTTCCTAAGACTCGCTCTGGGAAGAAACGCCAAAACAAACCACAGAGGTGTCTTTGTTTTAAATCCGTGTACAATGTTAAAGAGAACTATGTGAGTGCAGTATAGGATCTAGGCTGGCCTTTTGAAGAAAGGACCATGGTATTGAATCGGCTCGTCCATACAAACGTCATACGAGCCCCAGCCATTGTAAAGCCTAACCGATATAGTCAGGATCAACAACCCGGAACACGACACTACCGCCTGCAGGACACTTGAATGGGCCGGAAACACTCAAAAC